TATAAAATATAATTTCTAAACTAATATTAATATACTAAATCTTAACGTCCGTATTAGCCTAGCTATTTACGGCGTTCGTATTATTACTTAACTAAATTCCGTATTATTAAAAAGTACTATACTACTTTTTAAGTATATTTATATTAACTATAATAGCTAGGGCGTTAAGGGGGCCTAATCTATCGAGCCCTAGAGGGGGGGACTTATTAAGGGGCATTTTTAGTAAATTATTTAAGTAGTAGTTTATATATTAATAAGTTCGTTTAATAAGTTTATTTAGTAAATTTGTTTAGTTTAAATAGAGCCTTAAGTAATATTAGAAATAATAAAAATAGAAAGAATCTTTACGAGCTCTAGTATAATAAGTATAATAAAAGTTTTATAATATACTAAATTAATCCGTGATTATAAACTTTATAGGAGGGAAAGTTTAAAAAGGTAGAAAATCTTAAAAAATAGTCTAATAAAATAGTAGGAGTATCTACTAATACTATATATCAATACTATATAACTAATATTAAGAATCGCCCGAGCAGCCAGTAAAAGTAGAAATAAAAAATAAATAATATACTAAATAACGACTAAGAAGAAAAAGAGTAGCCAGATATTAGCCCTTTTAACCCTTTTTTTAAAAACCTTTATATTACTATTAAAGTTTAAAACCTCTATAGTTAAGGGCTACGTCTAACTTTTATAGCCGACTTTTACTATCGACCTTTTTAACTAGTATTATTACGTAAAGGGTAGCTTATTTATTTTAAATTATATAGCGGTTTTTATATCAAAATTATTATATTACGTTAAGCGCGTACTTAGGGTATATTATACGTATTATATAATTAAAAAATATACTATATTATATAATTTCTTTTAAAAGCGTGATCCCGTTAAGGTCGATCTTTTATACTTATAAATCTAAAAGAAAACTACTATATATATTAATACTATATAACTAGTATAAAGAATTACCTAAATAGTTAGTAAAAGTAAAAATAAAGAATAAATATAATATTAATATATAATATTAATAAATACTTTTATAATTTTGATAAGTTATAATATAATAATTACTTTTTATATAGCGGTATTAGTTAGAAAGGTTAATAATAGAGGTCGGTTATAAAAGTTAGAAACGACCCTTAACTATAAAAGTTCTAAATTTTAATAATAACATAAAGGTTTTTAAAAAAAGGGCTAAAAGGGCTAATATTTAGTTACTTAGAGCTTATAAAAATTCTTTTTATCCTTATTATTTTCAATATTATTTAAAGCTCTATTTAAACTAAATAAATTTACTAAATAAACTTATAAATAAACTTATTAATATATAAATTATTATTACCTCGTTAAGAACCTATTTTACTAAAAATACCCTTCGATAAGTCCCCCCCTTTAAAGTTTAATAAATTCTTAGGCCCCCTTAATACCCTAGTTATTATAACTAATATAAATATATTTAAAAATTAGTATAATACTTTTTAATAATATATAATCTAGCTAAATAATAATACGAATATTATAAATAGCCGAGCTAATATAGATATTAAAATTTAATATATTAATATTAACTTAAAAATTATATTTTATAAAACTAAAAATCTTTTTAATACGGGCTATATTATAAATATTTATTTTTTTATCTTACTTTTACTAGCTACTTAGGCGGTTCGCGATATTATCTATATAATATTAATATATAATATTAATAAATACTCTTACTATCTTAATAAACGATTTTTTTAAATTTTCCTTAATTTCCCCTCTTATAAAGTTTATAATATAACTACGGATTATTAATAGTAATATTAAGTACTTAATACTACTATTTTATAAACTACTTACTTAGTTAAGTTTATAGCCCTTCTAAGTAATAATAGCTTATAATAATATAGTATTAGAAATACCCTTATTACTATTATTAAAAATAATACTGACTTTATAATATTTACTTTTTAACTTTACTTATATATATATATATATATATTCGTTACTTCGTTTCTTTTATTAAAATTAAAAAACGCTACTTCCCTCGCTATTTATTATTATTATACTATTATTATTATTATTACTATTACTATTAAACTATCTATTTTAAATATATATTATTAAAATACTAAGACGCTAATAACTCGTCGACTTATAGGGATACCTTAAGAGATATACTTAGTAATTTAATCTTACTAATATTATACTAAAAAACCCCGAACTATAATAAGGTCGTTTTAAAAAATACGGATTAAATATTATTAACTTAAAAATCTAAAATACGTATATTAATATAAGTATTATTTTTATTAATACTTACCTAATATAATATAGCCTTAATAAAATACCTAATTAACTATAGAATATAATTAATATTTTAATATTATAATAATAAAATAAGAGGTTTAAAAAGACTAAAAAAGATATTTTAAAATTATTAAATAAGTCGGAAAATAAGAAATAAGTTTTAATTATTTAGAGAGCGATTAATATATTATAATAAGATCGTTCTACTTAATAACAGCTATAGCTAGCTATAGTTAGTTATAAAGTTTTATTAAAGTACGTAATAAAAATATTTAATATTAACTTTAATAAACTAGCTTACCCGTAAAGGCGAAGATAGCCCCTAATAAGGTAGACCGGACCCTAAAGGGATATTATAAATATAAAAAAATATATAAAGGGCCTCTTAATTTTTAATAAAAAAAGTATATAATATAAGATTTAGCTATTTATATAAGCTAGTATTAAGAAGTCTTATATATATTAAAATAAGTATAGCTCGCTTTTTAAATAACTCGTATATATATTACCTCGTTTTTTTTATTAAAGTTAAAAAATACTATTTCTCTTATTTATTATTATTATTATTATTATTAACCCGTTTACTTTAAATATATTTTATTAAAATATTAAGACATTAACAACTTATTAACCCTTAAGGCTTTTTTAATAATTAAAAATTTAATTTTATAAGTATTATATCAAATAACTCCGAATTATAAAAAAACCGTTTTAATAAATACTATATTTATAATATTAGTCTATCGAGATAGTAGGAGTATCCATTAATACTATATATTAATACTATATAATCGATATCGAGAACTGCCCGAGTAATTAGTAAAAGCAGAATAAAAAAACAAATATTTATAATATTAATTTATAAAAAATATATAAATATATTATTATAAATATTACCCTTATTAATACTTTTTTAATATACTAAAATAATATAAATAAGCTTAGATTTAATAATATAATTAAAAAGAATATAAACCAATATATTAAATAAAAATATCAAAAAGAAATTATTATTAAATAAAATAAAAAAAAGAAAATAAGAGGTAATATTTCTTTTTAGGGTCCGGTCCGCCTTATTAAGGGCTAACTTTGCTTTTATAAATAAGCTAGTTTATTATTATGTATAAATAAGTTTTTATTACGTACTTAATAAGACTTTATAACTAATTATAACTAGCTATAGCCGTTATTAATTATTAATACTAACTAAACTTAAAATATTATTAATAACCCCGCTATTATAATATATTAATTGGGCGCCCAGCATCGCCGTTAATAATCTTGAACTTTATAAGAGGGAAAGTTAGAAAAGTAAAAAATTTAAAAAAATACTTTATTGAGATAGTAGGAGTATCTATTAATATTGTGTATTAATACTATATAATCGATATTAAGAACCGCCCGAGCAACTAGTAAAAGTAGAACATAAAATTAAATAATATATTAATTACTTTTTAAATAGTTAAAAACTTCTCCTTATTTCTTATTTTTTTTAATAACTTTAAATTTTTCTTTTTATTCTCTCCGAATTTCTTATTTTATTATAATAATACTAAAATATTAATAATACTTAAGAATTAGTTAAGTATTTTGAAACTATTATATTATATAAGCTAGGTATTAATAATAATAATATTTATAAAAATATATACGTTTTTTTATTTTTAAATTAATAATAATTAGATTATACTTTTTTAAATAATCTTTTTATAAATTAAAATTATTAAATATAATATTAATAAGATTAAACTATTAGCCCCTAAGGTATCCCTATAGGTTAACGAGTTAGCGTTTTAGTATTTTAAATATTCTTAAAGTAATTAGTTTAATAATAATAATAATAATAATAATAATAGTAATAGCGTAATAATAATAAATAGTAAGAGAAGCGTTTTTTAATTTTAATAAAAAAAACGAAGTAATAAATATATATATATATAAATTAAAATTAAAAGCGTAGTAAATATTAATAATAAAAAGGTCGGTATTATTCTTAATAATAATAATAAGGGTATCTTTAATACTATATTATTATAAGCTATTATTACTTAAAAAGTAATAAACTTAACTAAGTAAGCGGTTTATAAAATAATAGTATTAAGTACTTAATATTATTATTAATAATCCGTAGTAATAAACTTTATAAAAAGGAAAGTTAAAAAATTAAAAAAATTTAAAAAAAAAATAGTTTATTAAGATAATAAGAGTATTTATTAATACTATATATTAATATTACATAATTAATATTAAGAACTGCCCGAGTAATTAATAAAGGTAGAATATAAAATTAAATAAGAAGTAATATTTAGCTATTTAAAAAGTAATTAGTATATTTTAATAAAATTATTAATATTTAATAATAATTATAATTAGTTATAATTAGTTATAAAGTTTTTTTAAAGTATATAATAAAAATACTTAATATTAACTTTAATAAACTAGCTTATTTATAAAGGCAAAGATGGCCCTTAGTAAGACAGACCGGACCCCAAAGGGGTAAATTCACTATTCTTAATATAAATATTATAAATCATCGATTCTACTCCTATACTTCTCGACTTATTACGCCCTTATGTTGCGCACCGGCTTTTAGTCGGCAGACGTCACGGCCGGACAACTTTAAACATCACCACCGCTGTTCTAGATCATGAGTGATTCCCTGATTGCAGACCCATCATCGCCATCGTCGACCTCGGTTCGGCGGCAACATGTGGTTTCATGGCCAAAACCCGTCGGCTAGGTCTCTTCTAATCGTCGTCTCGGTGCTGGCACTCGGCTGTACCTCAACTTCGAGCCAGGTATCTAGCTCAATCGACGCCTCACCCACAAACACTCAGATCGCCTTTTGTCAGTTCAAGACGATCAATTACATCACGCACACACTTCCTCAACAGTGTCTCAAGACCAGTTGGCCAGGCGGCAGGGCTGTCAGCGATGGTCCAACTCCGATGAACGACAACGCAAGCTTACCTCCCGACGATCCAACGAAAATTACACATAGTGCTGGGGATACCGTGGTCGCGACCACCAACGTCTCGACACTCGACCGGACAAGCAACGATAACACAAATCCGTCTCCTACCGAGACCGCAACCGATGATGAAGTCACACCGAGGCCTTTCATGTCCTTTGAGGAATGGAAGGAAATGATGCTCCGAAAGGCAGGTCAAGACCCCTCGGAACTCAAATCCCGGAAAACAGTCGAGCGAGCGACCGAGCAGGATAGAGCAACCAGAAGTTCAGGTCTTGATAGTCTCGGTATTGACGATGGGGAGATCGACTTGAACTTCGATGTTGTTTCTGAGAAAATCAGCAACATTGCATCAGCACCCCAGGCCATTCCGACAGAAGTGGCATCTCCCGACCAACAGCAAGAGCCTGTACTTTATGACGATGGCAGGACGCAATACTACCGGAGTAAGGACGCTGGAAAGACCTGCAAGGAAAGGTTCTCCTACTCGTCATTTGATGCTGGCGCAACAGTTCTCAAGACCAACAAAGGCGCGAAGAATGCCAAGGCCATCTTGGTTGAAAACAAGGATTCATACATGTTACTGGAATGCTCTGCAGGAAACAAGTTCGTAATTGTTGAGCTCAGTGACGATATTCTAGTCGACACCGTTGTGCTGGCCAACTTTGAGTTCTTTTCCAGCATGGTACGGCACTTCCGGGTTAGTGTGAGTGACAGGTATCCTGTGAAGGTTGATAAGTGGAAAGATTTGGGGACATTCGAAGCCAAGAATTCTCGGGACATCCAGCCCTTCCTCGTTCAAAATCCCCTGATCTGGGCTAAATACGTCAGGATAGAGTTCCTAACTCACTATGGCAATGAGTTCTATTGTCCAGTCTCGTTATTGCGTGTGCATGGCACACGAATGTTGGAGTCATGGAAGGACCAAGAGACGCAGACCGATGAAGAAGAGACGGTGGAAGAGCCTGTGGGCGAGCTGCCTAGTTCTGCCACGAACGCTGAGATTGGAGAGAATACAACGTTTGCATCCCCAGAGGGGGGCTCCTTAGAGGTGGCATCTGACACCTCGCCAGACCTGCTCATGCCGCGCCACATCTTTTCGCGTCTGGATTGGGATAACTCGACATGCTCTCCTTTAATGCTACTGCCGCATTCAGAGCCAATTCCATCGGACCCAGAACTGCAGACTGGAGATCGTGTAAAGCAAGGCTACCAACCATCAACACATGATCGATTTCGGGCCGGAGACTCTGCCAAACGTGTCTCTGAGGACAGATCGGCGTTTGCCCCAGCAAACTTGACAGATCAAGTTGACGAAACATACATCTCATCATCGGCGAAGTCTGTTCCTGTCGGTGTACACCAAAGCAGCACATACACCGAATCGAGGCCAGGAGGAGGAGAAAGTACGACATTGGGCACATCCTCAACAAAGACAGCACAGGCCACTGTCCAATCCCGCAATAAGCACAACTCAACAGCAGCGCCCTCGTCTCCTACAGTTCAGGAGAGTTTCTTCAAGGCCATTAGCAAGCGCCTGCAGTACTTAGAGTCAAATGTCTCACTGTCACTCAAGTACATCGAGGACCAGTCTCGCTACCTTCAAGAGACCCAGAGAATGGCCGAGAGGAGGCAGTTGTCTAGAATAGACATCTTCCTGGACAGTCTGAACAACACCGTACTGTCAGAACTGCGGACTGTTCGCCAGCAGTATGATCAGATATGGCAATCTACTGTCATTGCGCTGGAGAGTCAGCGAGAGCAGTCACAGAGGGAAACCGTCGCACTCAGCTCTCGGCTCAACATTCTTGCCGATGAAGTTGTGTTCCAGAAGAGGATGGCTATCGTACAGGCCATTCTTCTGTTGTCATGCCTCATCCTCGTCATATTCTCCCGAGCAATGACACAACCGATCCTGGCTGGCTCCTTTGATCTCGGTCGAACATCGAATCTGAACCATGCCGAATCTGGCATCAGATCCGAACAAGTTGCTCAGAACACATATACCTCCGTGTATGACAGTTTTGGCCGGCCGTTTGACGGGGAAGGCCGTGGCGAAAGAGCCTCAACGGAGGGGGGTTCTGGAGCCTTGCAAAACTTGCAGGGCACGCCTGCAAGGCTGCTCACGCCGGCATCAGAAGATGGATACAGTTGCCAAGCCTCAGAGAGCAATCTGTGTGGCCCTGATAGGTCTATGATGTCGCAAACACACCCATTTGGTACATTTACTGACAATGACTCCACTGGGGATTGCCATGACTCATCCGTGGATTTTGGCGAGCATCTTCTCCTTGAGGCAGCGGCTGGAACATTAAATGATGCGGCACGGCATGGTTGTGGAATTTTGCCCCAAAACTCACTTCGTTCAACTAGAGTTCTTCTAGACCCCCCGCCACTGGAGAGCGACGCTGAGGCTCGTTTAGCAAATCAACCTCTTGGGGTCGTCTCATCTACGGTTCGCAAACCACTACCAGCTTTACCAGAGTGAGTATCTCACTTCGGCTCACAAAACCCCACCATGTACCGTATCCAACTCGACTTTGTGTTAGGTTCCTCACATCATTGCCATCGCATTGACGAATGGAACCACATCATACCCATTGCCGTGGGCGGCGTGTTGTATGCAGCATCGTGGCAACAATGGGTTTTGTTATTGAAATGAGAGAAAGCGCAGGAACACACTTGGCACGGCTGAGAGATTATGCAGCCATGATATCTTAGCAGAGTATAGCTAGGTACTAATGATTACACGTTCATGACGCTTCCAGAAAGCTCCAGTATATAACAATCAAAGTTGGAGCCCCATGTATGTGGACAGAACTTCAATGTCTCAATTCCCCCTAGTAATATTGCGATGCCAGTACTTTCATGCGACCTGCATTATCCCTTGAAACTGCCTCTCAAATTCCTCCACCCACTACCTTAAGCATGATACATGTATGGCTGCATAGATGCTTCGAAGTCATGTTCTTCGAGGGCGGCCAATCTGGTACCTCGGTCATACTGCGAGCGTCTGCGGCGTTGCTCGTCGCGGAAATGCTGTCCAGCGTTGGGTGTGAAAAGCCCTGCGAGGTTCCTGTTAGCATGGTCTAGTAAACATCGGCGATCCTTTCGTACCAACGTGTTCTGCATTTTCGCAGCTTCGCTTCATCTTCGACTGGTTGTCTGGCTCTGGAAAAGACTCCTCCTCTCCCGCGAGCTCTGGGACGGGCCCATTGCAAGTGTAGAACAGCTACATTGTAATTAGTGTTCAGCTCTGTCGCGCGACTGGTGGAAGCTCGCTGACCTTGGGACGATAATGCGTTGCTTCGAGCATTACGGAGCTGTTTCTAAACTTCTGGACAAGACAATCCTTGCCCTGAATGGCTTTGAGAGAGCATGTCAGCAGGCCAGTTTGACGCTTATCCCACTTCGCGGCACTCACTAGCATAGGAAATTTCAGCGACCTTGTCGCTCTTGAAACAGTTCCTGGGTCGATGTAAGCTGGTGTAATGTCGTCTGGACTGATTGTTACGTTCAACATACCATCTCTGGTTACCTCTGGTATTGACGAACTGTAATCTGAACATCAGCACTGCCGCGAACGCAAGGTCTGGGCTTACCGACATCAATGATGTCCAACGGCTACGAAGCAATGTCAGTAACACGTTACAGGCTCTCCAAAGGTCAGACTTACATCCACGAAATTGATAAAAGCGTATCCGACACTAGGGGAGTCCTTCGTGGTTAGCGACCTGATGCATGATGAGTTTTGAGACTGGCGATATTGCTTACTTGCAGTCATTGGCGAAATCAATCCGGAGATACATGAAGTCATACTTGCCCCAGCTAGATTCATCAACGATCCGCTTGAGCATTGCTTGATCTACCTTGTTCGGAATGTTGCGAAGCATGATCTCAGCATTGTCAGTCTGAGTATCCAACAACATCAACACATTACTTACCGTGGTGCGAACATCTGTTCCTTCACGGATGCGGTTCACATCGACGTGGTTGTGGTGGCTAGCAACATTATAATAGGGTGATCTGTTGACTCTGGCTGCATTCTGCCTTCGGGGCTCGGCTCTGGTGCCAGGAGACATCGATCCCATCATTGGCATGCTCGGTGAAGGCTGTGAGAAAAGATGGTTCGTGAACTGATACCTCGCTGAGTCGGATGTAGACGTAGGCGGTGAGAGGCGCTGGCCATCATTCAGAACGTACGCTGTACCTGGCTGAAACTGCGGCTGGCACAAGATGGGCCACATCGCCAGAGGGGAAACCTGGATACCGAGAGGGGGGTATGGAGATCCAGGCACGGGTATGGACACTCCCTGAGGCATGAGAGGCATCGAATTAGCTTGATTGGAGAGAGAAAGTGCATGAAGGGCACTTGTCAGATCGTGCCTAGGCGTGGTTGGGCTGTGGTCGTCGGTCGGGCCGTCTTGGGGATCTTGAGCCGCATGAGGAATCTCGTTTTCGTCCAAAAGCGACAGGGTGATGTGGATCCCCTTGAAAATGATTAGCTCACTTCCAACGTTGTCCCCGTGTAGTTTGCCAGCGCTCGATGAGCTTACTTCGACAATTATGTTGTTGATCATAACCACGGCTGTGGCAGCTTCTGCCTGGTCACTGAACTGAATGATAGCTCTGTATACCGAAGGATCATTCTTCTGCTGAGCATGATATGCCGAGAGTTGGCCCCGCGACTGCAGCATGCGCTTGAGAACTGCTTCGGTGCGGATAACGTCGAGTGGACAGGGAGGAATAGCTAGGGCAACAATGGCGACCCAAGCTCCAGACTTGACTCTGTTCCTAATGGCAAGCTTCTCGAATATCAGTTATGAGACTTCAGTAAGAGATCCAATAAGACGCACTTCTGAAAAGTCAACATTTGACAGATAGTCGATTTCAAAGTCAGCCTCGACTCGATAAACGTTGTCGTGGACCAAAACGGCGTCACGAATGTCGCTGAACTGGACGGAGATTCGCCCTCCCCTGTGGAAGATCTGTCGCGGTTCTTGGAGTGAGAGACCAAGTCGCTGGAGTTTCTAACTACTTGTTAGTCAAGATATTACGTGACGGGAGGCAAACCACTCACCACGAGACAAGTATTCAGATCGGTGATGCCAATGTTTCGGTTTTTGGAGCCGATTATGAGACATTCCGAGAGTTCACCAACATTCCTAACTCCAACTGGAAAGACGCTGGAAGCTGATTGCCTGTCTCGGTCGAGAATTGCGAATTCAACGTTCTTGTCCAGCGGTGAAGAGAAGGGCTGGAAAGTAGAGGCAGTCGGCGACAGCTTCTGATGGCACGTGTTTGAACTTGTAGTGATGAAAGGGTCCTTCTCGGCACTAGACAAGACATTGCCAAAGGCACTCGAGGGAAATCTCGAGGGAGTGGTCTCTGGCGAGGCTTGCACAATTGATTTGAGAAGACGAGAGGACCTCGTGGCGCTTTCCTCTGGGGAGAAGGCGGTCAACCTTGTGTCAGGCGTTCCCTTGAAGGAATCGGCAGCGCCCACAGAGGAGTGAGGCGAAGAAGGGTTAAACATGACGTTCTCATGGGTTTGGGCCATCTTGTCTGTCGTGATGTTTCTTCTCGACGAGCGATGCCTCTCAACCCAACAAGTGAAGACGAAGGGGAGGAAAATGAGAGAGTGGTGTCTGATTAGTAAGGGAAAGAGATCGAACTACCGAGACCCGGGGGATGATAGATGGAGTTGACAGGCTTGAGTCTCAACGCAACAGGCAGAAGATTGAACTCTGTTGCTTGCCCGCGAGGCAGCCGTGCCCCTGCAGAAGTCTCGGACGGGTGACGATACCGAGTAGTTCTCACCTTGGGAGAGGCCGACAGCGAGAGTTCAGGACAAGTTGAGGATGCGTGGGCCTACGCGTGCTATGCGCCGACAAAGATGACCAGGTAGGTAACGTCAGGTAGTCGGGGTGGAAGTAGGAGAGATGTGTATGAGTCTGGGGGCCTCGTGGAAAAATGTGAAAATGAGGTGTGCGAGGGTGGATGTTGGTGCAGCGCAAGTTGAGAAGGAAAGAACCTGCCCTTCCTGAAGGCAGCGAACGGAAGGAGCCTGCCTACCTTATGTAGCAGTTGGTGGGCAGGTGGTGAAAAGGGGGAAGGCACGTCGCAAGGTGGATTCCTTCTCTCCTTCCCCGGCAGTGACACTTTCCTTCCGTGGTGGACGAAGGAATATTACGAGGGCTTGCACCTGCCTGCCTCCAAAGTCTGAAGTTTCACCTTACCTACTGAAGATTCCTCCCTCACCACACGAGCTTCGTCTTCAACCAGCCCACGAAGGAGATAGCAGCTCACCAAAGCATCCTTCGAATTACTTTAATTGAATGCAACGTAATGGAGGCAGTCATCCAGGAGTAGCCACATCAACCAATATGCATCAGGTGTACCTGCCCCAACTTACAACCTCTCACACTTCCTTCCCATACTCCGAACGAGGGAGCAGCGAGCCGATCGGGACCGCTGGAAGGACACTGTTCGCACCAGTTCCGAGGCAGGTACATGACGACAGAACTGTGCCGTAATATTACTGTTCTGTGGAGAGGTGTAAGTCCAGCGTGGTGACACGAAGAGAGCGAGAGAGGCCAGTGCTTGTAGATGCCGTTCGTGTTCCTGTTAGGCTTCTGAAAGAAGTATGGTAAGCAGCCCGAGGTCATCCTTTATGAAGAATGTAGGATCAAAACTGAATGGACTTGCCATGTCTGGAAAAGTTTGGCACTACGGTCCACTATTAGCTGGTGATGATCTAAACATAACCGTTGCCCAGTATCAAGTTGGAGCTACGTTATGAGGGACGGGACCCACCCACCCCGCAAACCGGGAGACAAGGTCCTTGGCTGCCGGAGGACACGGCCCCGGGATGGAAGGTCACCCACGTCAAAGTGGTGCTGCCAGGTATGCCAGGGTACCTTACTTTCCATGCTAGCACCTGCATTAGTGGCGCTGACCGAGCCTAGTCCAAAAAGGAAGAGCCTCCTCAGGCCTGCATAGCAATCCGCATATCTTAGCTCCGACATCACCAACCGCCGGGTGGAGCTTACTTACCTAGTACCAGTCTATCGACCTACCTGAGCATCCGTACCTTAACACAGGGCCACCGGCACAACCCAATCGCCTTTTCGTCCACGTTCGTCAGATTTCATTGAACTGGCCGCTTCTGCCTCAACCAGAGACTTGCTCATGCCCAGCCCAAGCCACGAAGCTGGTTCTACAATAAAGCGCCACCGCCTACCGACTAAACGAACCCCGTGTCCAGTCCACCCCAACGAGACCGCGTACTGCGCAAGGCATGGAACAAGATGCCTCGGCGCCCGCAGACCTATGATGATTATGGCGCAGCCGTCCAACAGGTTGAATCTGAGCCTTGATACCAACCGCACACATCTTTTTCATTTGCTAACTCGAACTTGCCCCAGATCATCATCACTTCATCTGACGCAGACTTTCTCGACCAGCTCATTCCGGTCCTCAAAGATGCTTCGCACTCGAATCGAACCCCCTCGCTGATGCAAAATCTCGTGCGATATGCCGAAGACAGAGAGTCTGATATCGAGAGAATAGGCTTGACAAAGCACGAGGAGTTTCTTGGTTCCGTGAACCAACTTCAGAACGTGCGCGAAGGCACTGTTACTCTCACAGCAGAGATTCTCAGATTGAACCAGTCAATCCAGGCCAGCACCGAGAAGCTTGCTGACCAGAAGCAAGCTCTGGTCAACACAAGAGCTGTTCGGCAGAATATTGCCGACGCATCGGATGCTCTGAAAGAGTCGCTCAAGATCCTCCACGCTGTCAATCATGCCCATGACCTGATCCGTACTAAAAAATATTATGCAGCACTCAAGTCACTCGAGGACTTGCAGAATGAGCATCTGATTCCGACGATCCAGAATAAGTACGCCACTCAGCATAGACTAGCCGATGTGATCCAAAAGTCGATACCCGCATCTCAGAAAATCATTTCTGAAGCCGTTATGACCGACCTAAATACCTGGCTGTTTCGAATTCGCGAGACCTCACAGTTCCTTGGTGAGGTCGCGTTCTATCACACCGAACTTAGAAGGGCGAGACAGAGAGAACGTGTGGAGCGAGACAGTTTCCTCAACAACTTCAGACTCAACTCGTCGATCGAGCTGGTCTTTGACGAAAGCGAAGAGTTCGACGTGCTCGACAACGAGGAGCTACGGGTTGACTTCACCCCGTTGTTCGAGTGCCTTCATATCCACAATGCCCTGGGTCAAAGCGAGAAATTCCGTGCCGAGTATGCTACAACTCGTCGCCAGCAGAAAGATTTACTACTGCCAAGCACGGTGAATCTTGTTGCAGAGGATGAATCCTCCCTGAGCAGTCTCCTCGAAGGCATTGCTGGTTTTGCCATCATCGAGAAGGCGACCATGAGACGAGTCCCCAACTTGCGCTCTGCGGTTGATGTAGGATGACGCTCCCCTCGGCCTCCCTTTGTGCTAGTGCTGAATTGTTCTTAGGTTGACGAGCTATGGGACTCAATGTGTCACACGGCTATCACATTGACCTCCCAGGCCCTCAATGAAGTCAGCAACGCCGAGATACTACTCAAGATCAAAGGCGTTATAGCTCTTTTCATTCAAACCATGGAGGTAAGCAGTTTTGTTGAGTCGTGTGCTACTCTTCAAAACCCGTTTCCTGACATTTGATCCACAACAGGGCTGGGGCTATTCTGTTTCTATGCTGGACAACTTCCTGCTTACGTTGTTTGACAAGTATGCAGAGCTTTTGAAGCGTCGCTTCAGCGAAGACTTCCAGGAGGTACAGAATCTTGTCCGCTTAGGCAAAGTTTGGGGTAGCTAACGCGAGCTAGATTGTGTCAACGGACGACTACATGCCTATGGCAATTAATACTCGTGAAGAGTATGAGAAGGTGGTGAACGTTAGCTGGTTTTCCCAAGAAAAACCGCTCGAGGAGCTCAGGTAAGCAAGCCTATTGTCTGACCATATCCTTACTCAAGTGTCTGATCATCATTCAGCTTCCCCTGCGTTTTGCCATTCTCGCAGATGTATCCACTTTGCTGCATCGACATTCGCAACTTCTTGAACCAGTTCTACTTCTTCTCCGATGACCACTTCCAGCATCCAAATGTAATCGACGACACACTTCGCAAGGCAAGTAACATGGCTGGTGTAACTTGAGAAACGTTACTGACTCTTCAACAACTTGCAGTCGCTTGACGAGCTGCTGACCGAAAAGGTTTGCAAGTCTCTCGTCGAGAGGCTGAGCTCACAATATCTCGGGCAGATTGTGCAGATTCTCATCAACCTAGAGCACTTTGAAGCCGCATGCCAGGAGCTTGAGCAGCTTCTTATCCGAGCAAGATCGTCTACGTCAGCTGGCGGCCCTGTCACGCTTGTTGCCACTGAAGAATTCCGAAACAACAAAAAGACAGCCGAGAAGCGTATTTTCGAACTTGTCAACTCAAAGATCGATGACCTTGTGGATACAGCTGAATATGACTGGTATGTTGGACTAGACTGTTTTCGACTACAAACGAAACGCCTCGTTGATGTTGACTAACAACGGTATATAGGATGGTGACTACGACATCTCCCGACCCAAGCAGCTACATGCAGACTATGACCCGGTATCTTTCGACCATCATGAACTCGACGCTTCTAGGCTTGCCAAGAGAAATTAAAGAGCTCATATACTTTGATGCACTCAGCCATGCCGCTAACAAGATTCTTGTGAGTTTCTTGATGTCCCGGACAGTCCCAACTCGTTCCGACATCACTGACATATGTTGTCGTGCAGGCGTTGCCACTTTCCCCGGACGTGAAGCATATCAACACCAACGCCGTCGCGGCCTTGGCCAAAGACGTTCAGTATCTCACCGAGTTTGTCGACAGTCTTGAAAACGGAGCCATGCTACGAGAGAACCTGGACGAACTCCAACAAACGATCAACCTGATGCAGTCTGACAATCACGACGAATTCTTTGATATTTCAATTCGCAATAAAAAGTTTGGTCGCGTAGACGCATTGAACGGTCCCATCCTACTGGAAAAGTAAGGCTCGAGATCACTTTCGTCTTCCCACACTCAAATATTGACATTCCTTACAGGCTTACCTCGAATGCCCAAGGTCCTACACGCAGCGCTCCTCTCGCCAACTTTTCATCCAGATTCGGTATGATGAAGTGAGAGCCGTTTGCCTCCCAGATGATGTGTGCAGAACCTAGTGCATGCAAGGGGTACTCTGTTGAATAAACCAGCACGCGTCATATCTGAGTCCTGCTGAAGCAAATACCCATTTGTATTCTCTCCGGGATGTTACTAGGCTCAGATATGGAGCTCATAGCTTTCCCCTCCGCAACCTACTAATTACTCAAGAGGATCAATCCATCGTGAAGCACTGGCAGATTCGATGCTGTCCCGTCATCATGGCTCTCGTCGCTAATAATGCCTTGAACGCCTCTACGCCGGATCGAAATCGAAACGATAACTTGGCCCCTATTTTTGCTTCACCTGTGAGGGGTAAACTGAAGATAGCCGCTGTAGACACATTTGTTGCTGCGCGTGTCCATCGTCTACTCGAACTCCTCGCTGGACATGGGAGGCTGTCAAGTTTGTCAGCCCGTTCGTGGCGTAGCGAATCATCAATACTGGACAGACACTCACCTGCTGTGGCTGCATAGTTCCATAACCATACATGCCCTCAATCTCGCCATACATGGGTTGTTGAGCTTGTCCATAGGGGGCAGAGGGGCCTGGCTGTACTTGGCCGGGGTACATATTCGGGTTTTGGCGATAATCCTGATCGGGCCCAAGAGCGTGGCCAGCGAGACCGTAATCAGTTGCCGCCATGGGATGCGAGGAGGACGAATGGTTTGCTGGTTGTGGCATGGAGCCATGCTGGCCTGGCATTTGGGGGTTTGCTTGGGCTGGAACGCCTTGGGGTGTGGGAGCAGCCTGTCCCGCTGTTCTCTTGGCATGCGAAGAAGCCTCCTCCCGAGGAACTATGTCAATAAGAAAATCAAACATGTCCGATTTGGCGAGGGCAGACGCAATGTCAGATCGCTGTAAAGTGCGCCGCTTGTTCTCTTCGGCGTGTATCCATGCCCGCATCGTGAGTTCCGTGATGAAGATGTCGCAGCCCTTTGCGAAGAGGATGGGTGCTTCGGCAGATATCATTTTGACTTCGGGATCAGCCTTCATAACTTTCTTGATGCGCGCCAGGGGCAGTTGATGCAGCTTGTAGTCATGGTTGTCGCTTTCCAAATGATTGATGGTCTGCTGCCAGTAGGTTGTCAAGATGTCCTTGTACTGGCCGGTCAAGCCTTGATGAACCTGTCATGTGGCAACGCGCGTCAGTCGACTCCAGATTCATATGAAAGGGAATGGGGGTGTGACCGCACATTTGCCCAAGGGCCGGTGTAAAGTTCGGCGGGAGCGAAACCCTGGGCCGATAGCTGTGTGCGTGATTAGATACGGCTCATGAGATGGATCGTATGCGTTGCAGGTAGACGCCGTTTGCGAGTCGCAAGGAGGAGATACGAACCGCAGCACTTGCGCCTAAGTTTGAAGATGGACATCAGTACAACTGTGGTAAGAAGAGGCTGGGATGAAGTGAAGGAGGTAGCTCGCGTCAAGAGTGCGCTCCCATCGCGCATTCGCGCGTGATCGGGGAGGGTAGGCGAGGGGGTTGGTTGCATTTCCACTTACCATAATGGCCGCCATGAGACGTATCATACACAGGCTGCGGGCGGCCTTGCTGGGCATGAGAGCCAGGCTGATTTTGAGGGTCCATGGTAGCTGTCGCGAGAAACAGTGATTCCTGACTGTACCTAAGGTGGTTGAAAATGGTTGATGCGTGGAATTGGTGGGCAACGCGATGGGAAAGCTGCGAATCACAGGTGTGTGGGGTTTGTCGGGTCGTCTGTCGGACGTTCAAGGTGTTGATTGAGACTTGCGATCAGTGCTCTGGCGCGTCTCGGCTCGGAGGCGCGGTGAGATACGCAAATCAGATGCTTAGAGTCGGATTGCGATGCACGGGCTACCAACCATTGAGAGACCCTTGAGGCGTTGGGACTCTGGACTTTGGGAGGACGGTGGAGGAGAGAGCAGACAGCGGGTAAATGTCCGGCAGGTCTCCAAGATAAGGTACCTAGGGCAAGGTGGGTAGGCAATGTAGGTAGGTACTTCGGTTCAGCGCCGCGGACTGCCTCTGTCAACAACTTCGGTTGCCCGTAGGTAAGGTAAGCACGCAAGGTATTGCACCTCAGGGAGCCAAGGATGAAGAATCGAACGATTTAGGGTGGAAGGAGGTGAGTACGGATAGACAGCAAACGCCAGTGATATGTTGGATCCCTTTAACTAAAGATATAATACTTGAAGCCGGTTGATGTGTGCGACAGGCGAACTTGAACGCGATACTGGCGACTGAGCGCCCATGCGATGAGGTGAGTGGGCTCGACAGACCTCTTATCGGGGGCAGATGTGAGGTACCTTAGGTAACAGCCTCTTCCATAGGCAGCGTCATTAGGAACAAGGATGTACCTCGGTAAGGTAAGGCAAGGTACCTAGAATCTTGAAAGCACAAAACCTGGAGGCTGGCATAAGGTAGGCTGATGTCCATTGGTCAGGTTATGGATGCCTTACGAGACTAAGGTACTTCAGGGTATGTGGGCGGTACCTTGTTAAACCTGTCATGAGTGCCTGACCGCTAAAAAACCACCCGACTGAGATAGGTGTGCTGGATGGACATCACGGCCTGACTGCAAGGCAACGCTACCTCACCTTACCACACCTCACCTTACCTTACTACCTTGCTTACCACCCTAGGCACCTGACTGTGTGCGTAGTTTGACACCTTAAGGTAGGGAACCAAGTCCTCAGCGTGGCCCGGGTAATTCAAGCGACGTGTAATGACACCTAAGGTACAATCCACGATACGTTCTTGGTAATCGAACATACCTTCAATTCAACCTTTAGGTGTTGAGCACTTTACGATCGGGCAATGCAGCAATAGGTACTTAGTACTCTGCAGGCAGGAACGTTGGTATCTTGGGTGCGACATGCAGCCTCAATTCTCAGAGCACACCGAATTACTCTATTCAGCTGCCTGTTGGGCATCCCACGGCCTCGTCCATCACGCAGCCCCTTGGGAGGCCGAGTCGCCCCAAAATTTGGTGCTGCCATTTCCTATCTGACGCCAGACAATATTAGATATGCCGTGAAGGTGATGTGGTCCCCAGTTGCGTAGAGCTGCATGTGGCCGATGACGTGGCTGAGAATCGAGAATCCAATACGACTGCACTGTAGAGCAATGCGCTCCAATGCGGCGGGAGTCTATGAGCTGGCCAGGGCAGCTGGTCTTTCATCGCTTCCGGCTTACATAACAGCCTGTGTATCGATGCATTACCTAATACATAGTAATCACCTCCAACCTAACCGACGCGCCTCAATTCACTATCCACTCGTGTCGAATCCCATTGCCCCACTAGACCTTTAAAGACGAAAAAAAAAATCTTGCTTCAGTCGGCACAGCTCTCTTCTTTCTCCTCGATCCTTTTCTTCACACAGCTGATCCTCCCGTCAGCTCCCATTGTTCAATCGCACATTATCGCTATGCCAGAGCTGTGCGATGGGCGTCTTGATGAACTCCTGAAAGAAGCGGCTAGTCGCCTCGCGACGAAGCAGCCGCCACGGCCCAAGGATTGCACCTTGATTGCTATGAAGGCCGCGCCTGCCAATCCAACTCTGGATTCAAAGGTGCAAGCCAAGGCACAAGACCCAAAGAGCGTTATGCTTCGCGATCCTAGGCCAGCGGAGAAGAAGGTACGTTGCAGCGCCTCGCGCAATTTCTACTCCTTACCCTCCACCACTCACATCTCCTGATGAGAAGCAACCCCTGCTTTATTTTCTTGATGTGGTGACGGTGCCCGTCTTGGGTTACCTGCCACGCCAAAATGATCATTTATTTCATAGTTACTCTGATTTGAGACTCTCTCCCGATTCTGTGCCCTGCCTATTAGTCTTCCATGGACCTGTGAGCTAACAGCAGACAGACTGCCAAAGATAATGCTGGCCCGGGCTGGTTTGGCATTCCCAAGACAGACCCTAACGACCCCGAGCTGAAGCGAGACCTTCAGATTCTTCACATGAGAGGAACCGCCATCGATTCTAAGCGACACTACAAGAAGGAATCCCTCAAGGCCAAGGTACCTCGCTACGCTCATGTTGGACGTATTGTCGAGGGCCCGACCGAGTTCTACAGCGCTCGCTTGACACGCAAGGAGAGAACGCAGACACTGGTGGATGAGTTGTTAAGCGCAGAAAAGGCGTCGGGCAAGTTCAGATCCAAATATGAGGCGATTCAAACGAAAAAGGCGAGCGGCAAAAAGGCCTTTTACAAAAAGTTGGTGGAGCGCCGCCGGCGCAGCCGCCAGTAGCCAGAAACACGTTTTACTCTGGCTAAAGATGTCTCTTTTAAATTCGTGATACCCGAAGTCGCTGGCTGATAGCTGCGCGAAACAAATAAAAAATCAAACATGAACTATTGCCTCGAGTCGCAGGTGTCAGGAATGCAAGACATGATGGATGTGAATATTCGATAACATAGTGTTGAATTCAATCACGACAATGAACTGTCCTTGAGAATGCAACCAAGCGCTCTATATGAATTACCCAACGAAGCAGATTTAATGTGTTGAAGCAACGCGAGGTAATAAATCGTCATATGCATAAAACGAGGTATTCAATAAAGTGGACCTTTTTTCTTTTCTTTTGAAAACGGCTGTTCCCACGCAGCTTACCTCATATATGAATAACTTGCGGGTACCTTTAGATTTTACCGTCAGGATCCGTACTCGACCCTTTCCGCATGGCAACAGCATCGCATTGCTCAAGTATCTCGGTACATATGCAGAGAAGATGCGCGCTTCGACACTGTTGAGGCCAACCGCCCGCTGCCTGGCGCGGTCACATTTACAGGTTTGTTGGTACTCCTCTCGCGGCGTTGACGTTGCGTGGACGAGGCAAAAGTTGTTCTCTCACTGACCATTCAATCCTGGTTCGCAGGGAACCCTGAGACCATCATGGACTCGCTCACTCAACACAGAGACGCCGCAAGCCTCAGTGATGCAGCCTTCGAAAGCTCCCGAACCAACGAGAAACTCGCAGGCTATTAGCGAGTCTGACCCTGTGTAAGTACTCACTGCGACTGGGCCATACAATATGCGGTGATATTGATGATTATCACTTGCAAGGCAACATTTCTTCGGGAAGACCAAAGAGAACGAACCAAGATATCCTCGAGGCGTTCAGGCACTCTATCTCCAGCCACTACGTCGCGAAGCCGAGTACGGAATTCCTTCATGCGACCTTCAGCTGCGCTCATACAGTTTGAGGAACCTCGAATTCTTCTCCGACTTTGCCCTTCGCGCAGCGTACTACCTGAAGCTCCCAGCATTCGGCCCTGTGCCACTGCCTCGAATTACTGAACGATGGACGGTTCCCCGGAGTAGTTTCATCTTCAAAAAGTCACAGGAGAACTTCGAGCGTATAACGATGCGTCGCCTTGTTCAAATCCGCGACGGAAATCCTGAGACGGTTCAATTGTGGCTAGCTTTTCTCCAAAAGCACGCCTATTACGGCATTGGTATGAAGGCCAATGTGTGGGACTTTGGAAAGCTTGGTAGGTCATAACAACGGAAGACGTCGTGCAGGCAGGTCCCTGCTTGCTCGTTTGAAGCAAGATTTAACGTGTCATTCTTTTCCCAGGTGTCGGCAAGGCCATGGATGCCATTGATCCAGAGACGACTGAGGCGATTGACTCGCGGTGGAACCATCTGGGTCAAAACCGGGAACTTGATACAGTCGAGAAAGTGGAGGAGTTTTTGGCTACAGTCCGGTTCGATAAGGATAGTGGCAAGCGATCAGAGGGGGAGCGGCGGTTCCTCCAGACCCAATGGAAGAAAGACGAGGCGGCCAAAAGGAAGGCAGCCTTAAACGTCTGAGAGTTCATGCCACCGATATGTCGACGTATAAGTTGGCGTGTCGGACCTAGGGAGAGTATTGGGGACAGCCAAAGAAAGGAATGACAAAAGGCTCTGTCAGTGTATCGAATAGTTGGAAAGGGACCCCGTCGTGAGTGTGTCCTGTGTAAATCATAAATATCAAACCTGGCCCTTGTCGCGTTGGGTCACAGACTGCTATTCTTATGTCGTTTACAAAGGCTTGTGCGCCTGCGATCTGCTCGCCATTGGGCATCATATCATGACAAAATCCTCAACTATGTCTCCAGGCCCAGGGCCAATCACACCCCGTTATAGCAATATAGACAGAACGGAAATAACCGGTTCATTGCCCCATGCGTCGGATTTCTCACCCTTTCGTTCGGTCAGTGAGTTTATCATGTTTGTGTACGCCAACGATTCAGAGCACACGGGCTGGCAGGTATGAACTGTCATTGAGCTTGCAACTATTTTCGGGGGTTAAAGCCATCTGCGGGTCTTACCTAACCTCTTGACGCCTCGGGCCTATTTCGTTATTGAGAACACAAAGTGAGTACAATGCCTGAAATTCTCGTTCTTCCTAAATTAAAAATCGTTGTCAGACCTCTCTACTCTGAACATTAATACGACTCTTCCTCATGTGGCAACGTTCGAGGCGGGCAGTCCACCGGCTCAAGGTTCCGGCCGGACGCCGCGACGCGTCAAGTGGGAATCACCAAGTCATTTTCTCGGGCATCCAGCCTACGGGAACACCGCACCTGGGCAACTACGCCGGTGCCATCCGCCAATGGGTGCAACTCCAAGCCAAGCCTTCTGAGAGCTGCAAACTTGTGTATTCTGTCGTCGACTTGCACGCTATCACCGTACCCCAGAACGCAAAACAGCTCAGGCAATGGAAGAGGGAAACGCTGGCAGCTCTGTTGGCTGCAGGTATCAACCCCGAACGCTCGACTTTATTCTATCAATCATCTGTATGTTACGATCAACCCCTCCGCGCCTCCCTCCCCATCTCTCACACATATTTGTATACCCAAAGTCGTTTACCTGGGCAATCGCTGAAGCCACCCTGACCCCGAAGACTGACAATTCAAACATCAGGTCCCGGCGCATTCTGAGCTCATGTGGATCTTGAGCTGTACAGCCTCGATGGGTTACTTGTCACGAATGACACAGTGGAAGGTCTAGTACTATACCGTCTCTTGATCAATAGACAAATTACTGACACCAGGTACTTCTTGACAGAGCAAGCTGTCACTCTCAAATGATGCCACCATTCTTGATGAAGGTGCGAAAGCCTCGCTGAAGCTCGGCCTATTCTCATATCCCGTCCTGCAGGCTGCTGACATTCTCGTCCACCGGTACGTTCACTTGGCCGTATCTCCAAGAGCTCCATGTTATTCACCTGCCGCCTGCAGCTATCATGGGAATCATGGTGCAATGCACTTGATTAACTTTCGTTCAGAGCCACTCATGTACCCGTCGGTGATGACCAGAGACAGCACTTGGAATTTGCTCGCGAGTGTGTAACAAATTTCAATCACAACTTCGGCCCTCTCTTGGTGTCTCCTGAGACCATCACATGTGAGTTTGTCTAGCTATCTTTCTTATCATCATCTATCTCCGGGGCCCAATTCCCTAACAAGATATAGCACCGACACGCCGGGTTATGTCGTTGCAACAACCAACCCAGAAAATGTCGAAATCCGCTAGGGACCCGAGGTCACGTATCCTGATCACCGACACGCCCGAAGAGATCAACGTCAAGATAATGAGTGCATTGACAGACTCCTCTAATAATGTTTCCTATGATCCGGCTGACCGGCCGGGGGTATCAAACCTGTTGGAGATCCTCTCTATTTTTGATGTTCATACCAGGAACCCAGCTCAACTCGCCGACTCTTTTTCTCATGCCTCTCTCAAAGATCTTAAGCAAGCCGTCTCAAGGGCTGTCGTCGAGGGGCTTGGCGGAATCCGTGAGCGCTACATGGAGCTTCTGTCTGTTGACGAGGGGCGATATCTCGATGCCGTCGAAGCAAAGGGTGCCAGCAAGGCCCGTCTCAATGCCAACGAAACAATGGCCCTAGTGAGAGAAGCCACGGGGCTGTGAAGCCTCATCGTTATCTCAATGCCAGCTTGGCGAGGCGCCCCTTAACCTATCGTGGCGCTGGGACATTTGTAACACAATGTATCATTACTTCTCATTTCGCGAACCACAATGTTGTGCATCGTTAATGGGAGTCATTTCTGGGTGTAGGAGAAACGCCGGTGGGCTGTTGAGGCATTGCCTCTTGGATTCCAAGTTCTCGAACATGCTCTTCACGAGGCATAGGCGAAGTTTGAGCCTCGCGCAGCAAGCCAAAAATCTCGCACCACCTGATTGGTACCCCTCGCTCCACGAAGACTGTCAGAGATGGTCAGTGATACGTTCCCACACTCTCAACGAAGAAAGTCAAACCCACTTCATGATTTTCTTAAGAAAAACCGCTTTTTCATCGCCAGCTAGCTGCTGGCTTGGGAATGATGGGTCCGACAAAGCTTGCTCGAGCCAATTACGAGCTTTGGCTTGATTGCTGACCATCTTTTTCAGAGGCTCACTTAATCTGTCGAGTTCGCTCCTTGAGGCAGTTCCGCCGATGTTACGAACGATGGACTGGGCCAGCAATGGGCCTAACTGAGCTATCGCGTGATCTATCGTCGCATCTGCGGGCTTCAGAGCCATGAACGTGGCCTAGTGCTGGTCAGTACAATTGAGTGTCGTATGAATCTGAGTTGGCGAACAAACCCAGAAATCCGCAGCTGCAGCTTTGGGTAGTGGCTCGCGCCCATCTAGGATCCGCAAGGCGTAGATGAAGAAAAACTCCGTAAGAGGAAGGCAATCCGGTCGGAAAAGCGACGCAGGCTCCCGCGAGATCAAGCGGTTCGTAAATTCAATGCCGTTCTGCGCCAACTCTACATCATTATCTGGCTCTGTTACGTCAAAATCGTGAGCGTGGTCCTGGAATCGAAACTAATGCGATCCTACCTGGTTGTTGCTGTAGTAAAGTAATGACCCATCGGAGAAGTTTCGTCCTTACTTCATCCACATCACCGCTCTTCATACTTCTTAGTGAACTAAGGAAAGAACAAGCAGTGTTCACAAAGTAGCCAATTCGAGGTGTTTGAGGTGTCTGTTCAGTGAGGTAGTCGCATACCAGCCCTGGAGGGAAAACGAATGGGCCAGCGTCCGACTCGGAAAACCCCGATCGGAAAATGGTGCAAATGCTCTCGGAAATTTCGTCGCTCTGTGGGAACGCTCTCTGAAGCTGTACTATCATTGACATGATCCCAGACTGCAAATGGCCGAGTCTGGAGGAGCTGTCGGTCGCCGGGATATCCTTCTCACTGTCCAGGTCGAAAGGCACGTCGCCCGGAGCCTGTAGACCTTTACCAATGCCTATGAGGCATCTCAGAGCTTTCAAGGCCATGTGCAGGGGAAGTTCCGACGGATCGCCTAGCGTCGGGCAGCGATGAATGTCTGTTCCGCTGCCTGATGCGTCGCTCTGGAGTCTGGGCAAGGACAATAGATGCATTGACAAGCGAGCATCTTTCTGGACGAACGAGAGTAAGAAGTTAAGATGGTCGAACTTGGTGCTCTCATCTGGGACGGCTTGGATGACAGCGGCTATGGCTCCCATGATTCGCTCAACAGCCAGACAGTCCAGCTGACTTTGTGCGGCAATACCCTCATATTGACTGAGGAATGCGCTTGCCTCCGATGCCAGGATGGAGCGTGACGAGGAACAAAGCTGTAAAATGGATTTTGCGGCCGGCCCAGCTAGTAAGGGATCTGCAAGGACAGAGAAGAGCAAATTCAGTGCAGCTGGAAGGCTTTGGGTCTCGCGCTCAAAGTAATCGGAGTATCTTTCAATCAGGGATATACAGGTCTGGCGAGTGCGACCTGGCATAGACGAACCCGATGTCTGAAGAAGGTCGAATAGTGGTGAGGAGAAAACAGCTCTGAGGCTTTCGTCGCACCTGGCATCTCCAGTCACGCAATCGGCGAGGGATCCAAGACAGAACGCTGCAGCTTCAAGATCAGACGAAGAGTTTGGTGACAACGACTGAAGAGTCAGATTGGCGAAAGTTGAGATTAAGGGAGGTCCAGTCACGGTAAAGGTCGATTGAAGAAGGTCAGCAACATCCTTCCTTGCATCGCCAAAACCGGCGCGGTCAACCGAATCCCAATCAGCAAGAACACTGGCAGGTGGGTATGCAATTCGTTGCCACACAGTCGATATAGCTTCCAGAACGTGGGATGTAGCCGTAGAGACCCATTCCTTTGAGCCCTCTTCCTCCGAGTAAATGCAGTCTGTTAATGTCTCAACATAGGTGGACCAGAACTCGAGGGCCGGGACGAAAATCTTGTCCTCGCTGACAGGATATCCCTGGGCAGAGAGGAGCCCACGAAGATGTGCGACAAAACGCGATGAGCGGGCATCCACAGCGTGAATGAGATCCTCAACCTTGGAATCGCCAAGAGCGATCATGAGCTGCCCGAATTGAACGGAATCAAAGTCGAAGTCCCCTTGGACAAGACGCTGGTATCGCTCATGAGACCACTGGGTCTCGAAAAGAGAAAAGAGGGATTCGTAATGTTCATCTGTCAAGAAGCCCGAGTAGTTTGACAGAATTTCGGAGAGCAACTCCACGGCCACCTCGTACAATTCGTTATCGCACAAAGCTGTGATCGTAGGCTGAACCAGGGCCCGAAGAGCGTGGACAAGCTCGTCGTTGTGCGCTGAAACCCTCTGAGAGAACCAAACCCACGACTGGACGATGTGTGGTGAGCAACTTGTCCCTAAAGATGGGGCATTCACGCGATTGGATAAATGAGGTGACTGCCTACCTGTAGACAAGTTATGGTGTCTTTCTGTAAGCTGTGGCTCATTGAATCTGAAGATCCTCGGCGTGAAAATCCGTGAGACATGAGAGCCATAGCATCTGGAACATTGCGCGTGAGATTTTCATATAAACCCATGCTTCTGCGCCGTTAGTGAACAGACCAGGATCAGAAAGGCTGCAATGCTCACTGTTTTGCTGAGTTCATTTCCACTTTCGTTGCTTCGTCTATTAGTGCTCCTGAGAACCATAGTGCGGCCTGGACGTTTCGAGGCTGGAGTGTTTGCAGGACGCTCGATAAATCGATGGTGTCATCGACTCGGTCTTGGGGCAATGCTACACCTTCGGACAGAGAGAGACAGAGGTGACGGATGCAAAGCCCCCACTGGGTGGGAAAGCATAAGAAAAAGGTTACCAAAGCTGCGGATAGCTTCCTAACGACCATGGCTCCGGAGCCGTCGTCCAGAGACCTGACAAACCAGCCTATGAGATTTTGTAGCAATTCTGATGCATCTTCCTTTGACAGTGAGGAGCTAATCTCGATATTAGTGGCGGTGCTGGCCAAATTGAGAGGTGGTATACAACCTTTCGGTGTTAAGCTTGACAATCAGGGTGAGGGCACCGAAGAACTTGACCTTGTCGTCTGCATAGCCCAAGAGATCACGGGCGATCCACCAGCCGGAAGGGGATCTTTGCATGCGATGAAGCGTCTCTTGGATGCGCGCAATGGTCTCAGGAGGAGACGGTTCATAGAGAGCCAGTACTAACTGCGAGGTCACTGTCAGTATAGTCACTACCTTGCCGAGGGTGGGTACGAGACTTACGGCTTCTGCCTCTTGTATGGTAGATGGCAGCTGAGGTTCCATGTTTGCGAGGAAGGATGAAGCACTTAAATGTTTGTCGATTTTGTTCTCATGTTGACACTCAACTATCTCCTCAATGATGAAGATGTGCTTCGACGTGAAGAGGCAGGCGCAGGATGGATGGCGGCGTCAGAGCTTGGGACTATGGTTGAGCGTCACAATTTGAAGTTGAGGCTCTGGGTAAACATAAAATGCAGGCCGAGTGCCCAAAGTGAAGCGTAAGAAAGCTCGGAGAAGATGAGGGTGGGTCGGGTCGCCTGGAGGACCAAATGACACGAGCGACAAAGTAACCTGGTGAAGAACGGACAACGTCTTTTTCTATTGGAAGGGAAGATGAAAGAGAAAGACAGTGATACGAGGTGTCACGGATAGAAGAAGATTTAGTGTTTTAATTTCTACGGATAACCTGGCATTACCTGCGAACAAGTCACAATAATGACGCCTAAGTATCCAAAATAATCCCCTTCCATTGGCAAGAATGGCAGCTCATAGTCCGTTTATGCGATTAAGGCGACTAAAAGTCTTGGGAAGTAGACAACTGGTAGATAACTCTGTGCAAGACATATGTATTCACCTAAGGCATTCGACGGTAACCGACTTACTTACCTAATTAAGGTATATATGCACTTAACATGGTGCCTTGGTACCTGTCCATGCCACCCACGTGCCATCTCACCACGCCACATGCTCCAGCTGCCTATTACACAGGCCCCCGCTGTCTTAAGGTACCACACAGAAGGGCGGGCAGTAACGGAATCTGCCCCTCCCTCAGGTCTGAACATGAGCTGGTGCGGGGCACTACTCACTTTTGTGGAAGGAGAGCTGGTGTGCATTTGTATGTATCTGTCGTCCAGGCCCACACTATCAGGTAGCTAGGCAGGACTACCTACTGTACCCAGGCCTGACCTGAGCTGCAGCATTTTCCAAACGTGGAGTCGTCACAGTCAGCTCCTTCCATTACCTGCGTACGTGCCTACCTACCTTACTTGTCCCGACGCTGCCCGTGGAGTTAGTTGTCCCCGCGCAGGTCAAGCCACATCGGGTATCCCATTTACCTTTGCCTTAACCTCCGCTTCCCAGTGAAATTGACCACACGCGCCCACCGTCCTGGTCGTACCTCCAGCATTCCCTCCTCATGCTCAGGACCAGTCTTCGCCCTGCCCTTTGTCTTGTCTGCCGAACCAGCTATCGATTCCCTACAAGCAGCGTCAGCGTCTGGCCCCCGCCCGCTGCATCATCCGCCGGCTTTCATATATCTTCTCCTGGCCTTGGCCATCGAGCATTACACCAAATCCCAGCTCTAGATATGGAGCGAATTGACACAACCAGCCGCCTCTCAAGGCTCAGAGAGCTGATGAAGGAGCGCAAGGTCGACGTTTACGGTATGGACAAATTACTGCAAGCCAGTTTTCTGCCGGTTGCGTTGTTGTAGCGTCGTCACTGATTCCCTGTTCTTCTATGTGTAGTCATCCCCTCTGAAGACTCCCATGCCTCCGAATACATCGCTGGCTGCGATGCTCGCCGGGAATTTATCTCTGGTTTCAGTGGCTCTGCCGGCTGCGCTGTCGTAACCTTGGACAAGGCTGCGCTGGCTACCGACGGAAGATACTTCAACCAAGCTTCGAAGCAGCTTGATCAAAACTGGTTGCTCCTGAAACAAGGTCTCCAAGATGTTCCTACATGGCAAGAATGGTCTGCTGAACAGTCTACTGGTGGCAAGGTTGTCGGTGTTGACGCCAAACTCATCACAGGCTCCGTAGCCAAGAAACTCGCTGAAAAGGTCAAGAGATCTGGCGGTAGTGATCTGCTGCCTTTGGATGACAACTTGGTGGATCTTGTGTGGGCTGCTAATCGCCCGGCTCGCCCCAAGAACCCCGTCAAAGTGCTGCCCGAGAGGTTCAATGGCAAGGACGTCAAGAGCAAGCTCAAGGACTTACGCCAAGAGCTGGAAAAGAAGAACTCACCTGCCTTTGTTGTGTCAATGCTCGACGAGGTTGCCTGGCTCTTCAATCTCCGCGGCGACGACATTCCCTACAACCCCGTCTTCTTCTCATATGCAATCATTACTCCCGATTCAGCAACCCTTTATGTTGACGATACTAAGCTTGGAAAAGAGACTCAGGATTATCTTGCGGAGAATGACGTCGCTGTCAAGCCTTACGAAGCCATCTTCGATGCAATTGACGCTTTACGATCCGAGGTTAAATCGACCGAGTCAGCAACTGGAACTACATCTCAGAGGTTCATGATCTCCAACAAGGCATCTTGGGCATTGAAGCGCTCCCTGGGCGGAGACGGTCAAGTTGACGAGGTAAGAAGTCCTATCGGGGACTCTAAGGCTGTCAAGAATAAGAACGAGATGGCTGGTATGAGGGCTTGTCACATTCGTGATGGCGCTGCTTTGATCGAGTACTTTGCTTGGCTGGAAGACCAGCTTGTGGCCAAGAAAGTGAAGTTGGACGAAGTTGAGGCAGGCGACAAACTCGAACAACTGCGTGCAAAGCAGAAAGATTACGTTGGCTTGTCATTTGACACCATTTCATCGACTGGTGCGAAGTAAGTTTGGACTTCTCTTGCCTCTAGTGAACATATTCTACCTGGGCTATGGCGGCACCATGAGACACCAATCATCCCAACTCTTGCTGATATCTCTCTAGCGCCGCTGTGATTCACTATAAGCCGGAGCGAGGGGCATGCAGCACCATTGACCCCAATGCCATTTACCTGTGCGACTCTGGTGCGCAGTACCTCGACGGAACTACCGACACAACAAGGACTTTGCACTTCGGACAACCTACGGAAGCGGAGAAGCTCGCCTACACCTTGGTGCTTAAGGGGAACATTGCGCTGGACACTGCGATATTTCCCAAGGGCACAACTGGCTTTGCGCTTGACTGCTTGGCTCGCCAGCACCTATGGGTACGTATTAAATCGCAGCCTTGACCAGCAGAGATGGGTAACTAACACTGCTTGCGCCTCAGAGAGAGGGCCTCGACTACCGTCATGGAACTGGCCATGGTGTTGGGTCGTACCTCAACGTACATGAGGGCCCTATCGGTATCGGCACCAGAGTCCAGTTTGCCGAAGTCGCTCTTGCACCAGGCAACGTAGTGTCTATCGAGCCAGGATTCTACGAGGACGGGTCATATGGCATTCGGATCGAGAATGTCGCAATGGTAACCGAAGTCAAGACAAAGCATTCTTTTGGCGACAAGCCCTACTTGGGCTTCGAGCACGTCACTATGGTCCCATACTGCCAAAATTTGATTGACCCCAGTCTCTTGACAGTGGAAGAGAAAGCGTGGTTAAACAAGCACAATGCGGAAATCTTCCAGAAAACGAAGGATTATTTCCAGAATGACCCCTTGACCCTAGCGTGGCTGACACGGGAGACGCAACCTTTCTGAGGTTACCAGACCTAAAAGCGGACAAAGGCGGCGAGAGTAAAGGTAGCTGCGAAAGATAGCCGGAAAACAGCATTGTGGAAAGGCTTTGTCAGAATGGCCTTGTTTAGATGTTTCTTCAAGCCGAGAAGCTGGGGCAAGTCCAAGCCATATCGATGCGCAAGCTATGGAACGATTGTTAGCACCGAATTCAAATAACCATAACCCGACGAGTGAGTTCCCTGGGGAGCGGCAGCAAGTACGTAAATGGTGAACATGGCTAGGCCGGTAAGGAGAGCCAGAGTGTGAGATAGAAAGCCGACGAGAAGTCCAACTCCAAATCCTATACCAATATTAATAAGATATACCCGTTCGGGATATATAATTCTCATACCATAGATGCTACCGCGCGAAAGCTGTCTCATCGATTCTGGATTCAAGCTCCCAAATGAACGGCGATCTTGCGCGCGATTGGGCGATGCCGCGGTTGAGGTGAGATGAGAGCCAAAGTTCCCAGGCGTTTGTCGGTAGACAAGTGAGTAGGTGACGCAAAAGCCAGCGCCGACCGGCCAAGCCAGGCGCCGACCGGCAAATCTTGCTGAAAGGAGGCCGCTCATGGGAACGTTTCAGCTCAGATGGAAAGCGAAGTCAACCAACGTTGCTGCATGTGGTGGAGGAAGGTGGGAGAGACTATTTGAGAATAAGTTTGTAAACGAAGAGTCGTACCTTGGCACGCTCATTATGCACCTTTCTTATGTGCCCTTACGATCATTGATTTACCCTCCATTAGGTAAGGCACTACTAGTCTCATACTTTTGTTGCTCTTCTTTACATAAGCACCTAAGGCACGGTACATTCCATGACCTTGCGAATGAGGTACAGTTGAATACAGGCATTTTGGTCGGGCGACTTCCAACATGACAACCTCAGATACGCCCCTGACGTGCGTTATAAACGTGGCAGTCTGGAGCGTAGATTGCGGAAACGAGTTGAGGAACCAGGTATACCTGGCAAGCCTGGTGACCCGTACCGCCGATGCGCCATTAGCTACGTAACCTAGGCACCTTAGGAACCGTGAGTTGGAACCTAACTAAGCTTGGTATCGAGGTACTTGGAGACATGCCAAGCAACTTGATCACGCTGTTGCATGTGTTTCCACTGATGATTATGTCTGGTTGCTAATTCGAAGGACCTCGTTACTCGAGGGCGTCAAGGTTTGGTGCCTCAGTCCCTTGGTGTTTTCCTGTCCTCTGACGTAACCTTCCTTCACGTTACACCGCATGGCCATCCCAAAAGGTGTTGACATTCAAGTAACAAAGAAGCATCGCCAACGCCACGAACTCCCTACCCCCTATAAAATCTCAAGAAGAAACCGCCATCCCAGAAAGGGTATCCGCACAACCATGATATAACAGAAACAGAAGCCAGAGAAATTATACACCTCTTAGGGAGGATCCCGCGTGTTCGCAAATATAGCGAGCAACGCCCAGAGGGCGACCCCAGGTATTCACCAAGGCGGCTCGGTGATCGTCAGAAGCCCCATAGATCAATAGTCCTCGTTAACCTTGGTAACTTCAGCCGAGGCCACCCCATACGCCGCGAATGCGCCTTGCAAGCTGGATATCCTTTTGCATGATGGTCACCCTCTTAGCATGGATTGCACAGAGATTTGTATCTTCGAAAAGGTGAACCAAGAAAGCCTCGGCAGCTTCTTGCAGTGCTTGTATTGCTTGCGACTGCCATCGCATAGCTTCGCCTCGAGGCCTTACCGATTCGGCAATTTCGCGAACCTAGAGGGAACGGTTAGCCTGTCGTGTCCTAGAGTATTGACTGGGTCTGAACGTACTAGACGTGAGAAGGGAAGACGTCGCAGCAGAAGGTCGGTGCCATTTTGGTATCTCCGAATCTCCCTAAGAGCAACCGTCCCTGGTCTGTAGCGTCGCTTGCCTCGATTGGGGATCGGATCGCCAGCTGCTCCTCGTCAGCACCCGTCCTACACGACCGGGGAAGCATAATCTTTACGTTGGACATCGCTCTGTCGCGATTTGCGACGCACAACGTCTGACTGTCTCTTCTTCGGAGGCATGGCGATGGGTAGCGTTTTCCGAAGTCTGTTTTGCAGAGGTCTGCTCGGGGGATCCTTATTTTGACTAAAGGGGCAAAGTGGGTGTCCAAAGGAGGGCCGGACAAGTGCGATAGCCAAGACAAGGTTGCGAGAGTGAGGGCAGCGTAGGAAAGTCTCAATTGGGATTGCGACAGTAGGGACAGAATAATGAAGGTCAACTGAGCTTCATCTATTATGTTTGACGGATTAGAAGCCGGGACGAGATTGTAGCTCGGAGGTGATCATGGTGGTGTTGAAGGAACAACGAAAGTAATTGAGCTACTCTCCCATTCCGATAGGACCTGAACTGTAGTGCGCTACCAGCCCCGCGATTTTCAAGGGAAATCGATCGGGACGCGTTTCGCGTGTTTCTTAACGCGTGTTCTGGCTACGCCAGGCCACTTTACGCGTACTGCACCACTTGCTGTGCAGGGCTGTCTGTGTGAGTCGGCACTGTGAGGCTGATGCGGTCCCTTTCCATAGCTGTGGGTTTACTGGTGGCACGTGATGCGCAGAGTAATGTGATGTGGATATACAAGTACGCGAATAAGGTACCTTGTGGGAAGGAACGGCACCAGTTTACAAGGGACTGATTACTGTTGCTAAGTACTGGTTGCCAAGCTGTCCCCACTCCCCACTTCACCTCCAGCAGTAAATTGACCGGCATCAACCGTTCGTCAGCGCTCAAGGTGCCGACCGTGCCTACCTAGGGAATTCCTACCCGCTAGGTACCTACCTACGTTACTCAGAGGCCACCTCTCCAGACTTGTAACTTGACTACATGCAGTCGTGCTCCCGCCCTCTCTAACCTCAGTCACTTCCCAAGCTGGCGACGTATCTGACGATCTATTGCCGATTCAACTTCGTCCCTCCGTGTAGTCACGGCCAGTCGCTTGGTCTCTTCTATCGACAAGCATCGCAAACGTAGTGTTATCCGTCCTCCCCGACGCTTTTGCAACCCCTCAACCTAGCTACACGCTCAGACGACCAAGATACTTAGACGGCACTTCACGCCCTTCGATTTCCGCAAAGCTCCGGCACGGCAGGCAATGAGGGCAACTTCTTTGCCAACGAATCTTCGCCTCTGAAGCACTCTCATCCCAGTTCGTTACGCAGCATGGACCAGATGATGGGTGACGGGGGCCGATTCCCCCTTGAGACGTGGTTCTGGGAAATGCCCATTTGCACCAGATGGTGGACGACTGCTACCGTTCTGACTAGCGCTCTCGTACAATGTCAAATGGTCACTCCCTTTCAGTTGTTTTACAGCTTTCGCGCTGTCTTCGCCAAATCCCAGGTTCGCCTAATTCTTCCATTCTTCATTTATTGATATGTTGGCGATGATTGCAACCCCACCACAGTCTAGTTCTCTCCCCCGAAGACATTCGAACTATTGCTGATCACTCTGAATGTCCTCATAGTACTGGCGTCTTCTTACTACGTTCCTCTACTTCGGTCCATTCTCGCTCGATCTGCTATTCCATGTCTACTTCCTTCAGCGCTACGCGCGGTTACTCGAAGAGTCCTCTGGCCGCTCCCCAGCACACTTTTCCTGGTTGCTCGTTTATTCCATGGCGAGTCTTCTTCTCTTGTCGCCAATGGTCTCGATGCCGTTCTTGGGCCACCCACTCTCTTCAACTCTCGTTTATATTTGGTCGCGGCGTAACCCGGATACGAGATTGAGCTTTCTTGGACTGCTGGTCTTCACAGCCCCCTACCTACCGTGGGTTCTGATGGCCTTCAGTCTTATCCTCCATGGCTCTATTCCCAAGGATGAAATTATGGGCGTGGTGATCGGTCACATCTGGTACTTCTTTACTGATGTATACCCGCCTTTGCACAATGGGTCGCGTCCATTCGACCCTCCAAGCTGGTGGAGGAGGCTGTTTGAGAGACGTCAGGTGGAGGAAACAGCTGATGGCATCAACAATGAGATTGCCATTGCCGGAGGGCCAGAGCTTGCTGCTGACGTTCGATGATGGGACATGTTGGGCAAATCTATTGGGGACGAAACAGAAGATGGGAAAAGCTGGTGGGATTAACAACATTTGCATTGTTCTTGGCATTGGGGTATCAATATCGCCATTAAGCGGCATATGTCTTTGTACCCATGCATGATTTTCATCAACGAAGCACCTCAGGCTTGAATTCGCCGTAAGCATAGATACCTTAGAGCTGACTTCCACGCCCGACAGTTGTCCCAGGCGAAAGCACAGGTCAACGTAAGAATTTCATGTATTGTTATCCATGTTCTCTTTGCAACGTGTGTTTCCCATTCTAATGTGTCGTGATTCAAGATGCTTTGACTAGCATTGCTTTTTCCTCAAGTACCTTGAGATAGCCAATTCACATTTCGGGCGATGGTTCTGGCTCTGACTCTGGCCGTCTTGACTTCCACGCGCGGTCGCAAAGGAAGGCCGGGCTGCTGCCGCGCGCCGATGGTGGGTTCCAGCCGGAATGACCTACCTTATGGCAGCCCCGCCCACGTGCAACCTGACTTATCTATGTAGAGGTAAGGCCAGGTCCCTACGGATAAGGGACGGACAACGACACGCTTCATTTCCAGCACCTCTTCTGATGACCCCACCTGCTGAGCCAATTGCGTCATTTCAAATACAAAAAGTGAACCCGACCTCATTACCTACTGCCTCCAAAGCGCAATCGAAATAATACCAACTCAATACTGCTGCTAACCACAGAACCTTTTGATATTCTACTTTGCGGAATACTCTTGATACAAAATACGCACAGTGCCATCTATACAGGCATACAAAACCTCTGAGTCTCATTTACGCACAGCTCTCAGGCTTGCGATACATTACCCACTCACCAACATGAGGGCTTATTGGTATGACGGCCTTGATGTAAGTTGAGAAGAAGCCTTTCTTTAAAATGTCTAAAATGACCAAAGCTCGAGTCCTCGGTAGTAATCAATCACTGACTATCAACGACACCATAGGGTGACCAGCGCCTGGCACATGACTCTGGCAAGGAGGTTACCGTCGAAGATCTGAAGAAGCTTGGTGTCTTTTACCACCAAATCCCTAATCTGGATGGTGTCAACCAGCTGGCTTCGGACCGCGGCTATAGGAACCGAGACGAGATTGTTGTGTCGCCAGAGAAGATGGGCGAGATCTATGAGGAAAAGGTTAAATCTTTCTTCCACGAGCACTTGCACGAGGATGAGGAAATTCGTTATGTTCGTGACGGTCAAGGTTTCTTTGACGTCAGAAGCGCCGATGACGCTTGGGTTCGTATCCGTGTTGAGAAGGTAACATCGCCATGTTCGTCGGCAAATGGCGTTGCAACCAGCTGACCATTGGCAGGACGACTTAATTATCCTGCCTCCTGGCATCTACCACCGCTTCACAACCGACGAGTCTAACGTAAGCAGTGCATGTTTTCAGAGGTTATATAGTTTGCTAACAGTCCAAAGTACATCAAGGCAATGAGGCTCTTCAAGGATGAGCCCAAGTGGACCCCTTTGAACAGGACGAAGGACCTTGATGTGAACCCGCACAGGAAAGAATATGTTGAGCAATACCTTCAGAACGGCGTGTCAGCATGAACAACCAGCTAAGGACACGGTACATGGGGGAGAGTCTGTGGGCATGAGCGAAGCACGTGGATAAGATATCTAGTGGGAGTATGGAGATGATTCGTGCCACTTGCGGGATCCTTTGCACTCTAATCATGTTTCCGAGTACAGCAAGTCTCGTTACGAAGGCACCTCTTTGACTAATGTACGACTTGGCAGACAGGCGCTAGACTGGGTAATGCCTATGCTGACATCTCCATCTACTGCACAGCGCAAATATGACGAGATCTGACGAGATTTGTCCCTATTGTCTAATTCCTCCATCAAATGAAGACCGGCTTGCCAACCCCAAGATGCCAACGGTGAACGGCCGCTCACCCGTAAGAACAATCACTGCTCTGCTGGAACCAGTAGACAGCGGAGAATGGGAGTGGCTCATCCAGCACTACCTTCCTACCTACCTTGGCGGTCATGAGGAGGCGATGCGAGAATCATCCGACATTCATCCCGTGGCTGAGGGTCGTGAAACTTGGCATCAGAAGCCAATTTTATATGCATAGAGACATACCGTTATACGGTTACCCAGCCGCTCATGCATGTACCGGGATTAAGAAGGGGATATGGGGAAGTGGGGTACGGATATACCAGTTCTCATCTACCGAAATCACCGGGTTCATCCAGCAATCAGCACTGGTCACCTTGCGGCCTTCAACAACCACACCCTCATCGGTCTCGGTATCATTGGAGCAGGCAAAAGTACCTCGCCCGGGTAGGCCTTTCCCAAGGCCACCAATTCTTACCTCGACCTTCACCTCGTCTCACAGGTGGATGCACTGAGCAAGCTGAAATCTCGCATTCGATTTACGTTTCTTCTCCATACCTCGTCTTGCTCTATATTGATTTAATGGCTCGGATATCTTCACTTCCTAAAGCCACCGGCACTTTACCGTTCTCTTTTCTTCCATCTTACCATTAATAGTGCATCTAATAGCTCTCTTCTGTAACGAACGAGCTGCAACGATTGCCCCTCTGGAGACTGCTTCCATACCGACTGCCAAGAGGCCGCGAGCTTATCAGCAGAGCTACGTAGAGCTCGTAATACCACCCAGCGACTGTGAAACGAGCGCGATGGACGTGTGTAGCGAGAACAGCGCGACTCCCGCGGATGGACCGTCAAGAGTGAAGCTTCAACTCCCAGCTAGCTGTGATCCACCACAACTTGACGGCGAGAGGAAGCAGTTGGTCTGGGTTGTAAGTGATGGGACACCCTAATATTACTTTCTGACATTGACTGAGCACTTCCTGTGCAGGTATTTGGTGGAACCGGCCACATGGGTAGATCTCTTGTCAAGTCCGCCTTGTCCAAAGGAGATCTCGTCACTTCCGTGGGCCGTGTGTTCGAGACGACACCGGAGGAAATGGTAGCACAGCAGGACAATGAAAATTGTTTGGGGATGCTGTGTGACGTTCGAGCGAGAGACTCGGTGGCGCGGGTCATTGAACGGACCTTGGAGCGGTTCCAGCGATTTGATGTCGTAGCCAACTGTTCTGGCTATGGCGTAATTGGAGCATGTGAGGACCAGGATGAGCACGAAATCCGCAATCAGTTCGAGACGAACTTCATGGGCACTTTGAACATTATCCAAGCCAGCCTACCTTACTTTCGCCAACAGAACGGCGGCCGCTACCTGATTTTCAGCTCGACGTCAGGAGCTCTGGGCGTTCCAGGCCTCGGCCCCTATTGTGCTACCAAATACGCCGTCGAGGGACTCATAGAAGCTATGCTTTACGAGACAGACTCATTCAACGTCAAGGCAACACTCGTAGAGCCGGGGTTCGTCAGAAGGGACGAGCCAGATACCCTTGCAACGCCGTTACCAACCTGGGGTCATTTCCTCATCAAACCTGCGAGCGATGCCTACGCACAGGCAACATCACCAGCGTTGCATGCCAAAAGAATGGTTCAGTGGCTCGGTGACCGGCAGCCGACAAGCGCCGTCAAGTGTGCGGAGCTCGTCTGGCAACTAGCTCATTGCTCGTATCCCCCGCTGCGGCTCCTTCTGGGGAGCTATGCAATAGAGAGTATTCGTGATAGGCTGCGGTCCGTCACCGAAGAATTGGAGGATTGGAAACATCTAAATTTCCCCGCTCCGCCTGATGAAGGGGAGGGAAAGGAGGCGCAAGCAGATCAAGATGAAAGCATGGCCGACTCTGGGCAGGATGCGCCTGGCCAGGTAATTGCGTAGGAGTTGTGTACTGAGTCTGAGTGAATTTTGAGTTCTTCGTTTTTCTGTATCAACGGCAAAGATGCGAGTGGTGGGTGCTGTCTCTCGTAGACTCCAATGCGCAAAGAGTCCTCGGTGCTTCAAGCTTTGCCAGACATCGGGGACATTCTTCTACAAGAGAGCAGGGGAAACCCTTTGAAATGATGGAAAGCGAAAACGAATTACAGAAGAGAAGACTGCAAGACCAGACAGACGAGGCATCTGTTGAATGAAGCTGACGTTGGCAAAGTACCCGTCCGTACTTGCAGGTCCTTGAAGTTGTCCCCATGATACACGCGAGTCTCTTTCGCCTGCTTTGAAGAACCAGCGTTGGGGGTACTCTTGTCTCTGCCTACACGTCATCTTCGATTCTGCAGGGCGGCTGACGACGGGAGAGGGCCTTGGAAGTACGTATTGTTGCCAACATCTGGGAGCCTCGCCATTGGACGCCTCTGGGTGCCATCTTCTCACCCGTCTTATTCAGCAAGCAGTTGTGCTTTTAGACATGCCGCAGCGATGAAACGGGGCAATGAAGCTCGCATATGTGACCGAAAACCCATGAGACGCTTGCCTTCATTCAAGATCATGAGTGAGCCTGGTGATGAGGTCACCGGGAACTGTACTGTGTTGTTGAGGCTCAGCCTACAACTTTGCCTTCTCAATTCTTTCCTGCTCCGCCCATGCCTTATTGATGCGAACATTTTGCCAAAACCGCCAGGCCCCAAGGGCTGCCGCTGCTGGTGGACACGCCAGAAGCAGCCAACTCCACCATACTGGGCTGGAGGCCTGAACGTGACGGATAGCCTCGCCGATGTCTCTCTTCAAGTCTTCCTTGGAGCCATCATTCCATAGTACGACGCCCTTGCCCTCACCTCTGGCTTCACATCTCCGTGCCTTGAGCCTCACATCCGTCTGGCTGAGCACGCGGTTCTCGGCGTCTTCGCGGCTGAGATGAGGATCGCGGGCCATGAGACGCTGCATCTGTACCTCGGGGTCCTTGACAGCAACGACAAAAACGGTGCCACAGAGGCGGTCGAGGCTGCTTTCGAATAACAGGGGAACGTCGAGGAGAACAGCCCAGTGACCGGTGACATAGGCACGGAGAATGGCCTTGTACATCTCAGAGCGAACGGCGGGGTGAACAATGCCGTTGAGTACGGCACGGTCCTTTTTCAGCTCTTCCGTGTCGCCAAAGACGCGCTTGCCGAGGGCGGGTCGGTTGAGTGGTCGACCTTTGCCGTCGGGCCCGGCCTCGGGCATGGTCTCTGAGACCGGGACGAGGAGGTCCGGGGTTGTGGGGAGGAAATGCTTCACGATGGCGGCATATCCCTTTGATCCGGGTTCGACGACTTTCCTCGCGAGGACATCGGCGTCGATGAGGGGAATGGAGTAAGGGGGCTTGGAGAGGATGGAGGAAACGGTTGACTTGCCCGTTGCAATGGAGCCCGTAAGACCGATGAAGAGCATTGTGAGAGAATCCCCGTTTCAGGGCGTGATTTCGGGTTGGCCTCTTCTTCGGAAATTTAAATGCGAGCCCCGGCGACGAATACGATGGGTTCGATATCGGCGCCACGGTATTGAATTGGAAATGCGGGAGCTGGGACGGGAAGAGGGATGAAGTTCAGGTCGTTAATGGCAATAGTGGGGGTGGACTGATGATGGATCCGAGGTTATTTCGAGTCGAGTAAGAAGGAAAGCACAGGGCAGGTACATGAGCTTGGGGTACGACTACCCATGCGTCAGCCAATTGACATTCACTTTGCAGTTTCGGTGCCAAGCATAACTGAAAGAGAGCGCGATTGAAGGAACTTGGTACCTTGGCAACGCAATGAACTTTTGGCGACTTTGGTCATCAAATTATCTTGGCTTGCGCAGAAATCATACAATTCTTTCTTGACTGGACGAGAAAAACGCTGGCCTTCGTTCAGGTCGGTACACTGGCCCCTGGGGTTGAGATGACCTCGGGAGCTATCTCACGTACCTAGGCATATACGGATAGGTAGGCACCATCCCGAAAGACAGCGCCAGGGGCCAACCTTGCGGTCTTGCCTTATGTAATTCTGAAGAACAAGAAAAAAAGCAAAGGAAAAAAAACCCAGACAAAAAAAACTGGACAGGGTGAGGCAGCGTGACACTTTCCCTTACTGTGCCCTGCGGTCGAATTGGAATGGTGCACCCCTGGGTCTGCCAGGTGTCTAGTGGTCCCTTGCATTCATCCCTTCTTACCAAAGATACTTTCATGGCTCCTTGACTGGGCTGTCGCGGGCGGTATTTGGAGAGCTTACGTGCCCCGAGATTCTCCACCTGGCCTGTAGAAAGCACTAAGGCCATCCAATCTGAGGTGAAATTCCGTGACCCTTGATGGGTAGGCGCACGCGTGTTCCCCTGCGTTCCCGTCCCGTCCGTTCTAATTAATGCCCAAGAGCCTTTAACCCCCTTAACCTCCGTTTTCTTTCTTAACCCCAGATCTTCAACAACGCTTCCCCTAGAGCCAGATCACCGCGTCCGCAAACAACGAAGCGTGAAGGACCGCAGCTACGACTCGATCAACCCATCACTACCTTCTACCTCGTCGAAGTTGTGAGGCCGGTCATACACGACTCTCCCCGTTACCGAATCTCGGCGCATTCGCAAGCTCCACGGCTGCATCCTGCGCCAAACCTATTGAAGCCAGCTTGCTTCTACTGCCAATTTGATATACCGTCCAGACAGTTGTACACCGAGCGCCATCATGACGGACAAGAAGAACGAGGATTACGAGCTCCGCTCCTCCGAGTCATTTGGAGAGAAGGATGGCTTTCTGGCTCGGCCTCCCCCAAGGCCGCGTCCTACTCTTGGATCGCCAATCAGCAAGATTGACAACAGTCCCGGCGCTGCCATTCTCGCCTACTGCTTCTCTTCCATCAGCATGACCGTCGTCAACAAATACGTCGTTTCAGGCCAGTTCTGGAACCTCAACTTTCTTTACCTTGCTGTCCAGGTGCGTTCTATCCAAAGGCAAATCCCCAGTCGCGACTACCTCTAACTCAGCCCTCTTATCCAGTCCATCGTGTGCATCCTTACCATTATCGTGTGCAAGAACCTCGGAATGATTACGAACCTGGCGCCATTCGACACTGACAAGGCAAAGAAATGTTGGTCTCGTCTCACGTGATGCAGGCATCGGCCAAAGCTTACTATCTGCAGGGTTCCCTATCGCACTCCTCCTGGTTGGCATGATTTACACGGGCACCAAGGCCTTGCAATTTCTCTCTGTGCCGGTATACACCATCTTCAAGAACTTGACCATCATCGTCATCGCGTACGGCGAGGTTTTGTGGTTCGGCGGCAGTGTCAGCCCTCTTGCCCTTCTCTCGTTTGGCCTGATGGTCCTCAGCTCCGTTGTTGCCGCCTGGGCTGATGTCCAGCATGCTCTTGGAGGTGGGTCGCAGTCTGCCGAAGCCTCTGCCGCCGTTTCGACCTTGAACGCTGGGTACGCGTGGATGGGCATGAACGTTTGCTGCACTGCGGCCTATGTGCTGGGCATGCGCAAAGTTATCAAGAAGATGAACTTCAAGGACTGGGACAGTGGGTTACCCTGAACGTCCAGGCGTTCCCCACTAATTGGCAGAATTTACTGACGAGTGTGTTATAAAGCCATGTTCTACAACAACCTTTTGACGATTCCCGTCCTCATCGTTTGCACATTCCTTGCCGAGGACTGGTCCTCGGCAAACATCGAGAAGAACTTCCCCGTCGAGTCGCGCAACAGCCTGTTTGTCGGCATGATCTATTCGGGACTCTGCGCCATCTTCATCTCCTACTGCTCTGCATGGTGCATTCGTGTCACCTCGTCAACGACATACTCTGTGGTTGGCGCACTCAACAAGCTTCCCATTGCCATCAGTGGTCTGGTCTTTTTCGACGCCCCTGTCACATTTGGCAGTGTGTCGGCTATTGTTGTTGGCTTCATCAGCGGTATTGTCTACGCGTGGGCAAGAATCCGTCAGACGGAGGCTTCCAAGATGTCATTGCCGACGACACAACCTATGAGCGCGAGCTCGCAAAGCAATAGGGATGCGAACAAGTAATGGCTGCCAGTATGGAAAGGTTGCCGGAATAGAGGCAAGTTTTGGGCGTAGCTTATCCGCGTGAGAACCTTGTGTTGGTGGCACGCTGATGACGGCCGTCATCTATCCCATTTTGGACAGCCGTGCAGGAGTGATGGCCGAGGGCACAATAGCATGTGAACTCGGCCAGGTTCGGCTTCGCTCTGCTCTTGAGATCAGCATAGACAAGAAAACCTGTGCCGCGATGCATGCTTCAGCCTTTGAGGTGTGGGCGGAAGAGCGGAACAAGGAGAAGCACGAGATGACAAGATACGAAAAGGCGTGTTAGAATACTGCAGCATTTCGTTTGCTGACGAAATGAATGTGGAACGATAGTACAGTACTATGGACGATGTAGCAATGTTGTAATGCCATGACACTGATTCCGCGAGGGCCCTGACAACATTCCCGTTGTGAATTGGTCGGCAGGGGGGTGACATATCTGCGATCCATTTTAACGATTTGATTCAACAAGATGTGGCGGTGAGTTTGGTTGAGATGCTGAACATACCGAGGCGCCCCAATCGGTTGAAGAAAATTGCAACGCTGACATCGCCCCACGTACCCACGTCAAAGCTTAGAGGAGTGCAGCTTGCTTCGTGGGGTTTGAAGTAGTAAACGGTCCTCAAGAGAGAAACGCGAGCCATCAGCATGTGTTTGTCAGATGGCTTGACTACCTAGGTATCTTCCGCACCTAAGCTGCTAGGCTACTCTAAAGTAACTCGTTACGCAACTTCCCAATCTTAGGTGAGGGAGGAAGCAACGGTGGTTCTTGTTGAAAAGCTTGGAACTGATGCACGTTGGGCTCCCCTGTAGAACTGTATGAAGTAGAACATACCTGAGGTAGTTACCAGCCATCAGGACCCGTGACATCACACTCCACAGTATGTACGTTAGGGTGGGCAGCTGAGGCATGTGGCAGAGAGCATCCTGACACTCCTCCAAGCTTCCTCTAGCGTAGCCTCGGAAAGCCACTCAAGGCAAACTTAGAGTAGTGTAGATTTATTAAACTAATAATTTAAAGTTTTCTTTTTTTATTAATAATATACAAAGTATACGTATTACAACTCATTCTATGAGTTGAATATTTATAATTAAAAATAATTAAAAATACTTATAAATAAATAATATTTTCTTTGCTATTTTAAGAAATTCTTCTTAATTTTTAGAGAAAAAAAAAAGGATTAACGATGAACTAAAATTCCTCTCGCTTCACTCTTCTCTCTTTATGAAGTTTAAGGTTTCTTCTGGAGGAGGGGAGACAAGAAAATCCGTTCGCATCGTTTAGTTAGTGGGGGTTCCAGGGGATGCCTTTACCGTCCCCTCCCCCTTGCGATCTAAGAATGGCCCATCGCCAACAGGTCCACGTGCCATTTCAGCCGTCACACGAAACTGCTGTTCGATTTTTCTTCTTAGGACGATCCGCAATCATAGCTGTGTTGGCATAACCAGCTGTCTCTTGCCTGCTTTAGCTCCCGTCCCGCCATCCGAAGTTGGCACGCCGCCACATGATCCCAACATCCATCACCAAAGTCAAAAACCCTCATTCGACAATTCCCCAACTAATTGCTTATTTTCCCTCGGCGCAAACTCGATCTCTCCGAGCCTCCACCTCTCGGTGTTTCGCTTCTCCTCTAACTCATCTCCAAGGAGATATGGACTAAGCGTATCTTCATCGCCTTTTCCTATTGCAAGTTAGCCTTGCACTTTGTCGTCGTTTTCGGATCTATTCGATAAGTGGCAGCGGCAGTTCTAGCCAACATGTTGCCCTTCATTCATAAGCGTACGTAATATGCACCCTCGACTAACGACTTGTTCATTCTGCCTATGCCGGCTTCTTCCACTACTGGAGCCTCTCTTGCTAACGTTTGCTTGCCTCTGTAGCTTTCGAGCTTCTTGCTTCTCGCATCGGCGCATCTCCAGACGAACGTCGGTCCCTCCCATCAAGCTCGGCTACATAGCGAAGCTCTACGAACCCCCGTCCCTAATAGAGCACCAGCACTGACACCACGACTTCCTAGTCAAGCTCGTCTTTTCGTTCCTCATATCATATCCGTTAGCCGGCTTGCTCAAACGAGTTCCCGACTCCAGGCCTGACCTCAAAAACCTCTTCATAATAAGGTATGCTACCCAGCAGATACCCAAGCTGTTTTCTTTGTCTATTCCAACCGGTCTTGTGGCTGACGCTTCGACTCTTGGACTAGCACCTCTACTTTCTATCTGGTCGGGCTTTTCGATTTGTGGGATGGAGTACGCACCCTTGCTATCGCCTCTGCCGGCATCTACAGCATTGCGAAGTATATGCGTACCAGCCCATTCATGCCATGGGTCGGCTTCACATTTCTCATGGGCCACATGTCCATAAGTCACATCGCTCGT